TATTTAATTTGTTTTCGTTTTACATTCCATAGTCTCAAGTTGTAACCAGATAAATACAAGAGATGAGATGGGACCTCGAAACATTTTGCAACCCTTGATAAAATAAATCCCTATATCGAATGTTATTCAAAGTTATGTAATTATGGTTGCGAAGAGGAGATTGAATCTCAATGCTTTCGACTTCTTTTTTTCTCTTCTTCGTCTTTACAAAACGGAGGGCCGTAACCCTCTCTTTTTGACCGATTCCTTTCTTTCTTATTTGACACTACAGACAACTACCAAACTCAGAGCGGACAATTGGCATTGACATTAACAGTCTTAGAATATTGAATTAATTACCGTTCCTACAATTGTCATTTCAGATAAGCTATTTCTTCGCAGACGAATATGTCTGAGTATTTCAAAAGGATTTGTATTGCCTCTGCTTTTCATTGCCGCTATCAAGGGAGACCACTCACTCCATCTTAGGAGACATTTGCAACAAACCTTTAGAAAAATTTGACTCTTCCTTCAATTACGTCGAGCTCCGGGGTTAATTACCCGCAGTATGTTCATGCTAGACTATTTAGTGTAACAAATTGTCTACTTGATCGAGGTGGTAGGCAATTTGTGTACACATGAGTCTCTGCCGGTGGAAATATCAATATATTAGTGTTTAAGCCTTTTTATTATATCCTTACTCTGTCCTGGACATTTAGTTCTACCTGGATTCTTCCTCTTGGAATTTTTATTCTAAACATATACATGTATGGGTATTTATATATTTTGCATATGTATGTATATTTACCACTAATATTATCTATCTATCTATCTATCTATCTATCTATCTATCTATCTATCTATATATATATATATATATATATGTTGATAGATAGATAGATAGATAGATAGATAGATAGATAGATAGATAGATAGATAGATACGATTAAACTGTACAGCAAGATAAAAAATATAAATAAATATATACATGCATTTATTCATACATACACACATATACATACACGGATACATACATACGAATAGACTCAGATAGCAAAGTTAGAGAAAATCATCCTGATATAAGTAAACCTATTATCTTTATAGATAGATAGATAATGAACAGACTTGGATAGATAGATAGATAGATAGATAGATAGATATTATTTTCGAAGCATTTCATGAACACTATTTACATTATTTGGACAATTGTCCTCATGTTATTCGCCATATTTATTACAACGTTTCGGCCGTTGTACGCTCCGGCCTTCTTCATGTGGTTGGAATGTTGAACTGAACCGTTTATTTCGCTCACTGGGGTAGACTGTTCTAGTTCCACGTGCCATGTTTAATGGATGTCAGTTATCAGTTATCTCCTGTTAATTTCCCCCTGAAAGTTCTCCACTGCCTTAACCGGGTATTGAACTCAAACACTCTTTGGGTGTTTGTTGTCAATGGATCCAACTAACGCCTTTATTTACTGTGCCATGTGACCTTGAATCTACCTCAGTGAGCGAAATAAAGTGTTCAGTTCAACATTCCAACCACCTGAAGGCCAGAATATACAACGGCCGAAATGTTGTAATAAATATGGCTACAAAGATGGGGACAACAGTCGGAATAATTTAAATGATATCCATAATAATCATCACAGAAATAAAGACATACATTTCATGAATGTTTTCCAAAATGTCAGTAAATTATAATTCTATCGGGATTATATACCCAAATTTATTATATAAATAGATATAGGTTGTTCCAATAATTTGGGCCGATTTTAAAATTAATTCCCATTAAAATCGGCCCAAGTTATTGCAATACACTTTATAAGTTTGAAAATAAACTAAATAACGAGATATTAGCAATTATATATGCGTGTGATAATGTACATATATAGATGTATGTATGCATGTAAATATAAATCTGTAGCCTTGGAAACGTGAATTATGATTTTAGCCGTGTCTTTAAAACCCGGTAATTTTAAAAGTTACTCCAAAATTCGCTTGAGGGTGAAATGGAACTAATGTCTTTAAAAATTAAATTCGGAGCTTTTAGCTTCCATTTTTGAAACATGGTTAGAACTGTGTAGGAAAATAGGAGAACTGTGCCATATTCGGTCCTCGTGGGTGGAACGATAAATACTGTGTAGGAAAAAAACATATTTTACTTCAATTAATTTATAATATATATGTATGTATATATGTATGTATGTAATAACTAATAATATCAGTGGTCAATATATATATATATTTCCAAGAGGATAGAATCCAGGTAGAACTCGGTGTCTTGGACAGACTAAGAATATTACATAAAAGCTCTAACACTAATATTCCTTGAATATAATTTATTACATTGGAATCGTTATCACGATCCATTTCATCAGACCGATTTTTTTTTTGAATTTGTAGGTCTGATGAATTGGACCGTGATTACGGTTCAATGTAATAAATTATAACTATGGAATATTAGTGTTTGAGCCTATCTATCTATCTATCTATCTATCTATCTATCTATATATATATATATATATATATATATATATATATATATATATATTTCTGGAAGAATAGAATCCAGGTAGAACTCAATGTCAGGACAGAGTAAGAAAATGAAGTTGGAGGTCTGATGAATTACGGGTTCAATGTTATAAATTATAACTATGGAATATTAGTCTTTGAGCCTTTTATATCTATCTATCTATCTATCTATCTATCTATCTCTCTCTCTCTCTCTCTCTCTATATATATATATATATATATATATATATATATATATATATATATATAATTTGAAGAGGACTCAATGTCCAAGACAGAGTAAGAAAAATAAAGTTGGAGGTCTGATGAATTAGATCGTGATTACGATTCTAATGTAATAAATTACAACCATGCATTATTAGTGTTTTGAACCTTATATATATATATATATATATATATATATATATATATATATATATATATATTTATTTATATATATATATATATATATATATATATATATATATATATATATATATATATATATATATATAAAATATAGGGCTATCTGAAAAGTAACGTGACTGGGTGTGCTGTGCGAGCTATAGGTGAAAGAGGGATAAAAGGATTGTGTTAACATTTAACACTATTTATCGAGAGTATATAACAGTTGCTTTCTACAATTACATTTTCTTCACATGTCAGGACAAATCGCGACTGCTTCATCACGACAATGCAACTGTTCACAATGTCCTGAGAATCCGGCCGTCGATGGCCGAGAAAAATCTCGCCGTACAGGATCAAGCTCCGTATTCACCTGATCATATACTCTGTGACTTTTTCCTTTTCCTCAAGCTGAAAGGAATCATCAAGAGGTCCCCATTTTGAAGTCGTGAAGGCCTTCAAGAGGGCCGTAACGACGGAGGTGAGGAACATCGAAGATGAATCCTTCCAGCAGCGCATAGGTCTTCAATGTCTAACAAATAATCTATATGTACAATAATCTCACTATATATATATATATATATATATATATATATATATTGTCATCCCAGACAGACTGTTTTCGCTGTATCATCGCTCTTCATTATGGCTAGACGCCCGGTTGCCTCTAGCTAGGATCATATATATATATATATATATATATATATATATATATAATTGATAGTTGTATATTTAGGCAGCAATCCTTCCTTTATGCATGTTTCATTAAAAACGACAGACAAGGTACTACGGTTAAGCTTTTTATTTAATTTTTCTTGTGTTCTGACAAGCGCTTTCTTTTCTGGACACAGGGTGTGTAAGAACTGTCCAAATGTTTTATATTTTCGAGCGCTTTCGGCTATACCTTTAGCCATTATCAAGGATGATTCGATTTTCAGCTTAGTTGAGTGTGTACGTTCTGTGTATGTATCGGTGTGTCGTAGGGATGTGTTTAATTTCCGAATACGGTTAGCACATTGTGGCTTTGTTCATAGTTAATATTGTTAAGAGTTGGCTTTTTCTTTTTTATTATTAAAGCTTCCATTATTTTTAGTCTTTTTTTGCAAGTGGATGCAGATAATATATTTGTGTTTTCTACTAGTATGTTCCTAATAGTGTCGGGTAAATCTGAGTGTGTGTTTAAATGGGTTCTGATGGAGCTGTGATCAGATAGGTGTAACCTAAGACGTCTGGATAAACATGTGGTTGTGTAGCCGATGTAATTATTTATGAGTCCGGTTTGATCAGGAACACAGTTCCTTAAGGGGCATTTGAACTCATAGATAATGTTCGTTCTTTGTAATTTTGACTTAGTTGGTGTGTTGTTATTTTTGAGGATAAGGTTGGCCGTCTTAAATTTTTTATAATAGATAATAAGTTTCATTTTTTTATTCGGATCAATTGGAGTAGTATATTTCTTTATAATATGCCTTAGAGAAGATTCGTCTTGTTTGTAATTAATATGCAATATAAAACATTCGTAAAAGAAGTGTGTATCTTTTATCAACAAAGAGCACACGGATTAAAAAGTGAGGGAAAGATGTAAAAGTTACTTTGATCAACAAAATACAAGAAGTAGTGGAGAGCCATGATTTCACATCCTGAAACGTCATGAAACATAAAAGACGTATGCATCTTTTATCAACAAAGACCGCGGGGTCCAAAAAGGTTGGAAAAAATGCAAAAGTTACTTAGATCAAGAAAATATAGGAAGTTAGGGAGAGCCATGATCATACACCTCCTGGAACGTCATGTCGCGTAAAATAATTATGTATCTTTCATCAGCAAAGATGACAGCGACCAAAAATGTTGGTAAAGATGCAGAAGGTACTTATATGAATAAAATACAGGAAGTAGTGGAGCGCCATATTCGCCCATGTCCTGAAAGGTCATGAGATATAAAAGAAGTATGTATCTTTCATAAACAAAGACCACTGGAACCAAAAAGGTTTTGAAAGATGCCAAAGAAAATTCAGGAAGTTGTGGAGAGTCATGATCCATGGGGATAAAAAAAAAAGTCAAATTTAATCTAGATGCTGTGGAGATCCATGATCTCACACGTCCTTAAACGTGTAATACCACAAAAACAAAAGACGGCGAGTAAGAAGGAAGAGTAGTTAGAACAAGAAAGTCTAAGAGGTTGTGGAGAGCCACGATCTCATCTATCGTGATAAAAGAAGACACTGTATAAAAGAAGACACTGTATAAAAGAAGACACTGTATAAAAGAAGACAGTAAGCCGGTGTTCAAATCTTGGTGAAAAAACAATCCAACCCCCGTCAGAATCCCCAATGCCGCTTACCGACAGAGGAAAACATTCGTATTAAGAAGGGAGGCACCGAAAAACATTAATAACGTTTTCATTTCTACGCAGGCTTGTGTTGTATTAATCAAAATATTTGAAAAATGTTTTATGGAAGGAAAAACATGACACAAATGACCCTGTCATCTTTCCATTATTAACGTGTATTAGAACTGCCATATTCTTTGTACGACATAATTTGATTTAATATCGCCTTTTATTCATAGCCTTTTAATGTTTCCATAACACTTAAGTGTCGAACCGTATCATAACACAAGCGAAAAACTTATCCGAGAGTAAATGAGAGAAAGAAAAGCTTCTGGTTCTCATATATATATATATATATATATATATATATATATATATATATATATATATATATATATATATAATTTATTGTTGGACGTTATTTATATATACAAATGCATCCTACACAGAACAGTCATATAGCCTGACGTGCTATACCAGTTTAGCTATGAAGAGAGCATGTAGTTAGCAAGGTCCTTGAAGGATACGGGTTCAATTCCTGTCGAAAAAAGCTTTTTTTAAGTTTCTCGGACGTTCACGGCGGTAAATGTTGTTAATACTGTTTATTATAAACAGATCATTTGCTTAAATAGGTGTGCCTATATAAATAACCTATAACAATAAATTATTAAAAATAATTGTCGGACTTAGTCCATTTTGTAGTATATATATATATATATATATATATATATATATATATAATATAATAATTATATATTATATATATTATATATTATACATATATATATATATATATATATATATATATATATATATATATATATATATATATATATATATATATATATATATCGGTTCAAGAAAGATGTTTGGATCACTAATACAAAAAAAGAGAATGTCTCCCATCGAGAATATTTAACATCGAAAAACATAAAGAAAACAAATTAATTATTTTTTGCCTGATGAAGGTTGCGAGTCTGGAAACACGTGAAGCAAAATTATGGCAAATAAAACATAATAATTTTTTTTTAAAATCCACATTACAACCAAAAACGTTCATGGTTTCTCTCTTCTTTTAATATACACACTTGGAACTATTTATAACCTCTTCCTTTATATATATATATATATATATATATATATATATATTGAACAATAAAAAATATTAAAAAAATTAAAATCTTCAGACACACTGGGTTGTAGATTAATATTCTTTCGTTTTTTTTATTATTATTTCATTTAGATTACTCGACTAGTTTGGACCAATATATATATATATATATATATATATATATATATATATATATATATATATGGGTGCAATGGATAAATAGTCATCTAAATTACGCAAAAAGAAAAATAACACTGATATCTCATTTTAACAGGTATATTTATCAAAATTACGCAAAATACACAAAAATATTCAATAAAATCTCCATTGACTTCAACTAGGGACACCAGACGACTTCGAAATTTCCTACAAATTCTCTGGACGTTCTTGTTGGTGAATGCTGCCATAATGCTTGCCTTCAGTTAATTTTTCGGTGTTACAATACACGCACAAAACAATAATGATAGTCTGTTTTTGTTTGCATGAAAGATTTCCAAGCAACGACAAACTCGTGCATACGAGACGCTGGAAGCAAAAATCCCACCACAGCTCATTACGTATTAATATGGTGATTTTTTCATCTTTTAATGATAATGGTATTGCCTATAATTGATAACAGAAGGCATTTGATTATACCAACGGCTTCCCATACTTAATACTTCTCGTTTTCACCGTAGCGTGGTCATGTGTGACGTCATGAGACGCGGTACGATTTTTGTTTCTAGCGTCTCTTTGTCGTTGCTTAGAAATAAACAAACAAAAATATATATATATATATATATATATATATATATATATATATATATATATATATGAAAAAATTTACGGAAAAACAAACAAAAATTTTTATACAATTTATATTATCTTAATGTATATAAGGATTTTTTTTTTATCCTGTATATATATCTTCTTCATATATATATATATATATATATATATATATATATATATATATATATATATATATATATATCATTCACTCTGTTGATAATCTATGTCCATCAATTAATCATAATATATGTCTATCAATCAGTTCATCTACCTCCTTTTGTGTAAATGATCACATTTGATTTTATCCAAAACAAGTAATTTTCTCGAATTCTGTTCATTTCCGTTAGGCAAAAATATTTCATCTGTCAGCCACAACTTTTAATTTCATTACTTTCAGAAAAAATATTAAGTGTGTGATTCATTTAAGAATAACAAATTTCTATTTACTTTCAAAGGGGCAACTGGGTGAGCATTTACAGATTCCAGTGATTGTGAAATGAACCAAAAAAATATTCTAAAAGAATTCTGAATTTAAGGATTGTTTGCTGCTTTCTTTCCTGGTTCAAGATTGGCATGAAAACTGTCGGTCGTTTTGGAATGAAAAGAAAACGAAAGGTGCAAGGGGAAGGCGGGAAAAGCCTATGGAGGCTGGAGGAAATCGAAGCAAAAATGAATTCGCGAAGTGAAGATGCGGGTGATATTTAATAAAGAAAATTAAGTTTGGGAACGAAAGAATGAAAGAAAGAAAGCGAAAAAGAAAGCGAATAGAACGATGGAGAAATATATTTAAAAGAAGGAACGAAAGTAAAAATGGCGAGAAAACGAGTAAGGAAAAACCAAACGAAAAATAGAAAGTGTTAACAAAAAAGAAAGAAAGAAAGAAAGAAAAGTATAGAGAAAGAAATGAAAGAAAGAGAAAGAAAGGAAGAAAGAAAGAAAGAAAGAAAGAAGGGGAAAAAGAAAGAAAAAAGTAGGAAAGAAAAAAAGAAAGATCAAAGAAAGAAAGAAAAAAAGAAAGAAGGAAAAGGAAAAAAAGAAAGAAAGAAAGAGAAACAAGGAAAAGAAGAAAGCGAAAAAGGAAAGGAAGTAAAAAGAAAAGAAAAGAATGAAAGAAAGAAGGAAAAAAGGAAAGGAAAAAGAAACAAGGAGAAAGAAGAAAAGAACGAAGGAAAAAAGAAAGAAAGAAAAATTATGTGAATTAAGGAAAGAAAGAAACAAAGAAGGACAAAAGGAAAGAAAAAAAAGGGGACAAAAGGAAAGAAAGAAAGGAAAAAGAAGAGAAACAACAAAAGAAATGCCTTCCTCATTGTGAGTCACCCAAATTTTTAAGAAGGTCCAAGACACTGGTAGATAAGACGAACCGGTTCCAGAATTAAACCTTCTTTTTTTTTTTTTTTTTTTTTTTTTTTTTTTATCCCGTGGGGTCGTCATGGGTACTGCATCTACAGTAGAATTTGTGTTTCTTGGGCAACATAGCTTAATGGTGCTAACGGTTTTAAATCCAGATTTCTTCCTTCTCCTAGCCACCAAAGGTTATAGAACCCAGTCTGCTATTTACCCATACCTGGGGTGAGGAGAAGAAGAGGATTCATACCTTTCCCAATGGTATTAGCACGTAAGTGAATGTAATGGATCCGGCTGGAATTCGAACTCGGCTCTCCGATTCCTCAATCCAAGCCGCTATCCATTATGAAAAAAGCCTCATTATATGAATAAGCCTCCTTATATGAAAAACCTGGGAATTGGAGTTTGTAAATTCGAAATCAATTTTTTACGGGTTCGTTATATTCGTTTACGCTCAAATACCCTTTGGTACGAATCCACCCCATTCTCCCCTCAGCTAGGGGTTAAACAGTGCTCTTATCAGCAAATCTTTATTTTCTTCAAAATAATTCTTACAGTGCTGTTCGATAAAAGTGACTCACCTGATTTTTTTTACTTAAATTTTTTTTCGCCTATTGTTTTTGGGGTCAAACTAATTTTGAATCTTCCTAATATAAAGACCCCTTGCGGACCACCTAGTAAAAAAACTTTACTCGCCCTAAGATATTCTAGTGATAATTATAATTTTGGATATAAATGGGATATAGGGAAAAACTCTGTACAAAAAAAGTGACTCACTTATTTCCTGCAGCTAGTAATCAATAGAAACATAACCGAGCATCATTAAATAAAAAAATAATAGAGGTATAATTTATTTATAATAGGTAATATTGTTCGAAATATTTAATAATCTATGGGTCCTCTTTTATTTTGAATAACCTTTTCAACCCTTTTTGGCATTGACTTGATTAGGTTCTGGCAAATCTCATCTCCAAGAATTGAATTCCATTCGGATATGAAATTCACAATCAAATCCTCTTTGTTTCTCAACTGCTTTCTCGAGGGCCTGTACTTTATAATGCTCCATAAGTTTTCTATGGGGTTGAGGTCAGGAGATTGGGGCGGCCATGTCATAAAATTCACCTGCTTCTCATCAAAGTATTCCTTCATCAATTTTGATTTGTGACAGGGAGCATTATCCTGCATAAAAATGAGCTTGGTGGGGTCGATTTGCACCTTTTCAGCAGAAGGGGGCAGACAAGACTCTAAAAATTCTTTGTACCACTCGCTCCTGAGGGTCTTTTCAATAGGTTTTAAGAAACCAGTTCGATGAAAAGAAAACCATCCCCAGAACATTATACTGAACGGATGCTTGACAGTACTTACTGCTAAATTCAAAGAGCTTTCAAAGCTTCTTCTTCGGATTTTAGATCGCTTATCCTTTGAATTTAGCTCAACTTTCGTTTCATCGGAGAAGAGAACATTTAGTAAAAAATATCAGGTGAGTTACTTTTATCGAACAGTACTGTATAATCTAAAAATATTTTCTGGTGTATGAATCACTGAAAAAGCCCTTTGAGTTATTCAGCTAGAAAGAGAACAGGTTAAAATCGTATTGTGTCAGCCCCACTATGTCTTCCTAACTGAGAAATTCTGAGCGGGAAACGATTATTCAGGCCTTCAGTAATGGTACCAACATTCATACTCTGGCTCCCATCTTGAAAGTCCTTTCAAGAACCATCAAGAGAACAGTGAATAAGTTTTAAATAGAGGGAACAGTAGAGAGGAAAACTGGATCAGGAGGTTGCATCAGGAAGTGGGATCATTATTTCAACTTAGAGATGAAGAGATCAATTAGAAAAGATCCAACTCAATCCATAAGATGTTTGGCACATGAAAGAGAAATTTCAGCTATGACAGCCCCAAGATCAGTGAAAAAAGAAAATAAAATCGTACGTGAAATCTGTGAGACACATTGTTACACCAGAACAGAAAGATAGAAGGTTAAAGAGGGCGAAAATCATCTTGAATAAGTTGGACAATGACCCTTGAATAATATATGAACTTTCAATCGTTCGCTATGATTAATGAATTAGGAACATTTTCATTTATGATCACTTTCATCAGGATTCTTCTGTTGAGCTTGGAGAGTAATTATACATTCTTATTGCTCAACGTAGAGTCCAGTAGCGTTATAAAAACCCCGAAGAATTCCAGTAAGATATCTTTAATCATTTCTTAGATAGAACAGTTCAAAGATAATCCGACAATTGGGCAATTTTGCTTTTATACAATTTGGACATTTTTGCTGTTACATACATACAGATATAATTTCTTTCATTTTTTTCTCTGTTGGCCAAATAAATATTTAAAAAAAAAAACAAGCAAAAAGGAAGTAGTGGTTTGTTCAGGGCTAACAACGTAGCAGTGGCGCCACTCTTTCTTTTTGTAGATAATCAAAACATATAAAATAGCAGACGCCATATTAAAACCATTGTAATTGACAAAACACAGGAGCAGACGATCTTTTTTGTTCATCATCTTTTTTATTCTTCGCCTCCTCATCCTCCTTCTTCTAAGTCTCGTCATCATTCTACTCCAACTCCTCATTCTTTTTCTTCTAACTATAATTTTTACAAGACGGGAGAGTCCATGATACATAAAATTGGCAGCTACTTTTCAATGACCTTGTATTCAGACGTTCTACACGAGATATGGCAACTATATTCAATGCACGGACGAATAGTAAATTTTTATATGTACAAGATGGTCTTAAGAATTTAAAATCTTCTTTGGACATATTCGATAAAGGCGTTTATTAAAACATGTCTGGTTGTGTAGCGGTTGTTAGTTCAATTCCATGGTCTGGTACTCGCCAGTCTCGTAGTCGGCTTAAACTTGAACAGCTGACGTATCAAGGAAGAGAGCTCATCAGATAACCTGCCATGAAAATATTACACCATGTCTCAGGCATTAGGTCACTTAGACGTGGTGTAATGGTTAACAAGCTATTCTCGTTAGAACAATTACGATTCAGTAGTGAGTTCAATGTCCTTCTTGGGTTCTCCATGCTTTCGGCCTTGGGCCATATTTAAGCTTCGTTTACAAAATAGAGCACTTCAGCCTGATGTAATGGCTAGCCAGCTTCTTTCGCTAAATCAATAACGACAGAATGGTGAGTTCGATCCTCACTGGGTTCCCCATATTTTCGGCCTTGTGACACATCAAATTATTAGGCACTTCGTCGTGGTGTAATGGTTAGCAAGTTTGTCTCGCTAGATCAATTACGACAGAATAGGGAGTTCGATCCTCAACGGGTGCCCCGCACTTTTAGCCTTGTGCCACATCTAAGATTACAAAATCATTAGGACTTCCAGGTAATGTAATAGTTAGCAAGCTTGTCTAGCAAGATCATTTACGAGTGGATAATGAGTTCGATCCTAACGGGATTCCCCATATTTTCGGCCTTGTGCTACATCTATGATTGGAAAACCATTGGGCACTTCGATGTGGTGTAATGGTTAGTAAGTTTGTCTCGTTAGATCATTTACGACAGAATAGTGAGTTCGATCCTCACTGGGTGCTCCATACTTTCGGCTTCGTTTAGAAAATTGTTATAGCACATCAACGTGGTGTAATGAATAGCAAATTTGTCTCGCTAATTCACAAAACCCGGGAGCAGACGGAGTTTCTTGTTGCTGTTGTTCTTCTTCTTCTTCTTCTTCTTCTTCTTCTTCTTCTTCGTCTTCTTCTTCTACACCTCCTCATCCTTATTCTTCTCCGCCTCCTCATCCTTCTTCTTCTAAGCCTCCCCACCATTCTTCTCCTCCTCCTTCTTCTTCTTCTTCTTCTTCTTCGCCTCCTCATCCTTCTTCGCCTCCTTATCTTTCTTCTTCTAAGCCTCTCCACCCTTCTTCTCCACCTCCTCATCCTTCTCCTTTTTCGCCTCCTCCTCATCCTTCTTCTTTTAAGCCTCCTCATCCTTCTTCTTCTAAGCCTCCCCACCATTCTTCTCCAACTCCTCCTTCTTCTTCTTCTTCTTCTTCTTCTTCTTCTTCTTCTTCTTCTTCTTCTTCGCCTCCTCATCCTTCTTCGCCTCCTTCTTCTTCTTTCTTCTTCTTCTTCTTTTAAGCCTCTCCACCTTCTAAGCCTCCCCATCTTCTTCTCCAACTCCTCCTCCTCCTCCCTCCTTCTTCTTCTTCTTCTTTTTCTTCTTCTTCTTTCCCTCATCCTTCTTCTTTTAAGCCTCCTTATCCTTCTTCTTCTTCTTCTAACCTTCCTCGTTCTTCTTCTTCTTTTTCTTCTTTTTCTTCTTCTTCTTCCTTCATGACTATCTCTAATTCCCATGTATTTGTAACTCTTATTAAACGTTGTTATTTTATCTCTCCCAATCACCGTTCAGCCATCGTTCTATACAAGCTCGTTAGCGAGGTTATGCTCTGTTTTTCTCGGTCTCTCTTGCCTTCAATCTGTCCTGTGAGTGTCAAATTTTCCAAGCTATCTCTCCTCATTATCCGCCCTCTGAAATTCCAATTATCTCTTTCTGATGCTAAGTATAATTGTTCTTTTTGTTCGCATCTTCTCTAAACCCTTCGGCGCTGCTAAACAAATGAAAAGCGTCAATTTTCTTCGCATCTCAGCCACGATTCGTATTCTACGAGCCTCCCTAGAACGACCATTATCCAGTCGGCTTGAACCAACAAGCGGTCAGGGGGACACACATGTTGCTAAGTAACACATGTGTTTCCTCGTCTGGACACAGGGCATTCGGTCTGCAAGAATTCGTGCCACTTGGACGATATGATATGTCGACGGTCGCTTGGACAATGTCTGGAAGTCAATATTGGATTGGACTCAGTATATGATTAATAATGTTGGCATGTAATTTGGGTTGTCGACAGGAGGGTGTTTGCAAACATTAATACACGCATGCGCGCGTGCGTACACTGAAAAACCTATTTATATAAGGATCTCGATTGTATACAATTTCAAATATAAGTGGTGTGTATCTAAGTGGGATGGAAGTGTTATTTACTGATCTTAGTACACAATACACGACAAAAGTTTGGCACTCCTCTCTGCATTTAATAATTAGCGAGTTTCATGCCTTAAATTTAACTGCTAAATTAAAACTTTAATGCATAACGTTCAATTATTTTTAAGAGAGTCGGTTACCTAAAATTTTAAATTCGGCAACCCTAAGTTACCATTAGCCAGCAAGTTAAGTTAGGCAGAAAGGGCTAATCGCACCTATCGAGATCCCTTCCGA